GCTGGGAGCCTCCTGGATGGTCTTGGTGACTTTCTCGGTACCGCCGTCCTCGGTCTCGTACTCGGCCTGCTCTAGGACTTCCTCCTCCACTTGCTCCCGGGAACCCCAAATCCTGCCATGTTCCTGCTTTCCCATGGTCTCATCGTCACCGAACACTGCTTTGCCTACGATTCTAAAGAGTGAAGTCAACGGGCCCGGGGAAGGTTTTTCGCCGACCGATTTGAGGAATGAATACATGTCCTCCTCGGTTTCCTCCCCATCTTTATTCCCGTTCCATTGCTCACTTTCAAAATCACGCACCACGCCGTCGATCAGTTCAGAAGTCTTCAGCCAGTGATCCGCCATCGTGGTGGGTTGTGCTTTGCGTAGGGTAACCCATTCCTCCATAGAACGTGGCGAGCGGTGTCGTACTTGTGGAATGTAGAGCGGGAAATAAGCCTCATCGATGCCTTGCAACACCGCCCGGCTGTAAAGAAGAGAATAAGGTCGACCACCGGCCAGGGCCAGGAATGGATTGATGAAGTTCAGTTGTTGCAGTGCACGATTCAAAGTCGAGCGGCGCTCGAGACTCAGCATAGGCCGGGCCGAGCTGACGGTGAGTAGGTCCTCAAATGCGTCCGTCCATCCAAACTCGGCCGGATGAGTGTGCGAAGGTAGATCGTTGGGGGTCGGTCGCCATCCGAGGTCCTGGTCTAGGCGGATGGGCGAGTATGCAGACTGCTCTGCAAACGTGGACCAGGCTAGCTGTTGCTCAGAACGGCTGCCGCAGCCGGCTAGGCGGAACCGATCGAGCCGGTCTTCTAGCTCCTGCTCCGGGGTTGGCCAGTCGTTGTCGTCCTTTCCGACTACCGGCACGGAGGCCTTTTGGTCCGGACGGTGCTGGTGGTCCGATGGCCATCCGACAAGCTTGTCGAGTTCCATCTCAAAAGGGAAATTTCCCTTGAAGAGATTCACTAATTTGCGGAGCTCAGGAGGGATGTTGTCGTCTTCGGAGGGCATTTTCCTGCTAAGAGGGATTACCAATCTGTTCGTTTCAAGTGTAGCTGGAGGAGGTATAGGTTGTAATGTCTCGTGAATGGTATCCTATGAATTTCGACAATCCGGGCTATGCCCGCCAGTCCAACTGTGAGAAGTGATGAGTGGGAAGACTGATCTTGGAGTGACGGAAGATGGTGATGAATTGAGGAACGTGTCAAGTATATAACTGCATGTGGTCACGATACAAGTCCTTCCGAATGGGACATTCTGGCACCCTCTCGGCAGGAAGTGGCGGCCACCTGGGCTGCCAGGTGGGAAATGGTGGGGTATGATGAGGGACCAATACACACTATCTTACGGATACAGTGCTGTGCATAACACCCATAATTCCTGTTCTTCTTTTGAGCCTTGAATACGTATAAAGAGAAGCTCATAAGGCCTATCAGGATAATACAAGGCTCTAAAGCGGCTTCTATATTGATCTCTAAAAGACTTTCAGTAGGAGCAAGCACATGTACCAGTTGGGCGGTTCAGAAGCCCAAACGGCTGGGGGACGGTGGGCCCAGCTTCCAGTTGGGCGGGGGCCGCAGCGGTCGAATCTTCGATGATTCTTCTGTTCCCTGCTAATGAAACGTTCTGGCAGGCAGTCACAAGGATGAGCCCGCTGTGGGCGAGACAACTATGGCACGGACGGCACGTTTTTGGGCCGAATTGGCCGACCAATTTCCTGTTCAATGATTACCTGACGCATGAAATCCTTGAATGATGCGCTAATGGTATCTTGATTCTCTCCCATCTTGTCTTTCAGTTTCGATCTTTGCTTCACCACCGGCACCAGACCCTCGCTCTTCTTTCACCCATCTTGCTCATTGCGGCCTAATATTTCAGTTCGATACCCTCGCGAATACCGGTGCCGTGGTTTGCGTCACTTCTCCATTGTCTTGTCTCACTTTGTATCCAGCGCGGGGTGACAGGATCTGGAAACCGCCATTTTAAGGGGAGCTTGGATAGCTATCTGCTTCATTGGAGGGCTCGACCGACGACTAGCATCTTCTTGGCTAAGCGACAGTGACCGAATGACCCGACTGTTGGAGCACGGAATATCCATCAACCTCCCAACGAAGAGCCCAAACCTCGAGAAAGTCTCATGATCTCCGAGCTGAAGCTACAAAACCAGTGTTTGTGCGCATTTTTGGCGCCGAGGACGATAACAGAACCTTGACGATATCGATCGACATCGATCACATCGCGACGGCTGGCGAAGTGACTGATGAACATGCATCTTGCCGCTTGGCCGACGACATCCCAATATCTCGACTCTCCAATAGTCCCCCGCGCCGAAGAACCACCGCCCGGCCATCATGGCGACGGAGATCTGCAAAACTGGTCGTCCCTCATCGGAATCGTCACAGCAATATGCGGGAACATTCTTATAGCGCTCGCCCTCAATGTTCAGCGCTACGCCCATATACGGCTGAATCGGACAAGGGCACAGATCAGAGAGCGTGCCAAACAGGCCATGAAGAATCCTGCTAGTACGCGAGGGACGTCGACGGCCGGATACGGGTCAAACGACGCATCCGAGGCAGCGAACGGGTCGACGGGGGACTTGTCGACGTATGGGAGGAATGGTCGCAGCGGCGCTGACGGTTCCCGCGACTCGGAGGAGACGGAACCCCTGACGCGCTCCTCTAGATCGGGAGATTCGCAGTGGACTGAGAGCTCGGCCGAGGAGGATACCAAAGTCGCCTCTTCCTATCTTCAGGACCCATATTGGTGGCTGGGCCAGGTGTTGATCACGGTGGGCGAGATGGGCAACTTTCTCGCCTACGGGTTTGCTCCCGCATCCATTGTGAGCCCCCTCGGAGTTGTTGCGCTGGTGTCTAACTGCGTGATTGCCCCGATTTTCTTCAACGAGGTGTTTCGCCGACGCGACTTCTTTGGCGTCATCGTCGCCGTTGCGGGCGCCGTGACTGTAGTCTTGAGCGCCAAGCAAGAAGAGACGAAGCTTGGTCCCCATCAGGTTTGGGATGCTATCACCACCATGGAGTTTGAAATCTACATGGCTGTTAGTTGTGCGCTGATTGCCCTTCTCGTGTGGCTGAGTCCGAGATATGGGAACCGGACCATCCTCATTGATTTGGGTCTTGTTGGTTTGTTCGGTAAGTGGCAGCGACATGCCCGTGTGTCTCCCATCCATGTGGCCCCAAAGCACTGCTAACTTTGCCATGTCTAGGTGGATATACTGCCTTGTCGACCAAGGGTGTGTCCTCCATGCTGTCATCGACGCTTCTAGGCGCCTTTACGACGCCCGTTACATATGCTCTTCTTTTCGTTCTACTCTCCACGGCCGTGATGCAAGTTCGCTATGTAAACAAAGCCCTGCAACGGTTTGACTCGACCCAAGTCATTCCCATCCAGTTCGTCCTCTTCACGCTCTCTGTCATCACTGGCAGTGCAGTTCTGTACCGCGATTTTGAGCGCACCACCTCTGAACAAGCCGTCAAGTTCGTCGGCGGTTGTCTTCTGACCTTCTTCGGCGTTTTCCTCATTACGAGTGGCAGGCCACGCCATGATACTGAAGAAGACACCCTTTCAGACGTGGACGGCATTGAGGAGACTATTGGTCTCTCGGAACAAGACCCCACCATGTCCCGAACCCCTGTCCACCAGTCGCGTCGAGGCAGTAACGCTGCAAGATCGCGGCGGTCGTCGAGGGCATCGGGAGTCAGTTTTAAAGAAGCCGTCAACCGACCACTAGCTCTGGTGGCTGGCCGAGGATATTCAAGCAAGAGGGTACCTGTTGCGCCCCCTGCGTCTAGGCAGACGCTGTTGGAGGAGGATGATAGCGAGGATTCTCCGCTTCTCGGGAGCACATGGAGAGAATCGTTAGCGGACGATGAAGCCAACCCACACCCAGGGATTCCTCCCTATACCACATCTTCGGACTCTCTTGTCTCTACTGCAGTTTCGGACAGCCTTTTAAGACCAGAATACCAGCATGATGGTTCATCGGGAGTAGCGACCCGACCCACCGTGCATATCCCTCAACCAGACAGTTTCGAGCCTTCCACTCCCCCGGAAGAGCGACCAAAAACCCCAAGAGCACCCCCGAGTGCTTCGCGACCGCACTCGCACCATTTCGGAACCATGATATCTCCATCTCCATTTTCTTCAACTGTCAGCGCTGTAGTCGCCGACAAAATTCTCGCACATCTCGACCCCAGCAGTAGTCCGACTGCTCGACGCACTGTGGCCCCGCGGCGGAGTCGACCTGGTTTGCGAAACAGTTTATTTGTACCTTCGGATGAGGTCACAGACGAGGGTTCGGACGACGACGATGAACAGAATGACCTATTACGCGCAAGGAGTGCTCTCGAACCCAGACACTCGGGCTATGGCGGCAGCAGATTGGCCGAATCGGCATTTCCTCGACACCAAGGCACCAGGGGCGGCGACGGTCCCGACGCCATACCAGAACGACCAAAGGGCTTCAGGGGGAGGGCAAGAAGTCTAAGTCATACTCTTGGGGAGTTCTTTGGTGTGAGCGGGCACAGCAGCAGCAAGCAAAGGAGTAGGAGGAACACGGGAGGAGCATTTTCCTCCACTACATCTGCATCTGCATCTGAATTTGAAGACGACAGGATAGCTAGTGTAGCTACCAGCCCTGGCGGTGTGGCTACCGCTGCTGCAGAAGTCATCGCGGCCGAGGAAGGGAGACAATGGTCTGGGATGAGGAGTACGGAGACGATATAGAATAGTGGTTTGATACCATGGCGTTCTTGACTCTAAAGTAATTCTAATAATTTTGAATGTCCATTCCATACATACAGACATCACCTATTTTGTCTATTTGCTTCTCTCTATGAAGCGATCCTTGGACTCCATGCAACTTGTTCTTACGTAAGCCACCGAAAAGGGGTAACCATACTAGTGCAGCTTGGGGGACCTTTGTCCAACTACAAAAAATATAGTCGATCTAAGAATCCAAATAGCAAAAATTGCTAAAAACAAAATAACCATGCCCACTATCAGAATCGAACTGATGACCTTATCATGAACTCTCGTTGAGGGTTACTAGTGATACGCTCTACCACTGAGCCAAGCGGGCTGGAAATGCTTCACGGAAGTGGTTCCGTGGAGGCTTCGGATGTGTTGCCGACAGTGTATCGTAGTCTATGAATTAGAGCGCTGGTTAGGGTTGTGGATAAATCATCCAAGTCGCTTTCACTGTGGGGAGCGAGGCGGGATGTGATAAAAGTTACTTTTCTGGTACGTACCTGTGGGACCACTTTGCCAGGGTTACAGGGGTTCGCGTATTGCGACGCGTCAAGGCACGTAACAGCGCGTCTTTTCCAATTGGCCCCCGCCCATCCACTCTAACAATTACTCTTGACGACCCGGGCCAAACAATGGAACCACCAAGCAACCTGTCTCTCTTTTGCTTGTAAGCTCAGATTCTGTCATAGTCTGGTTCCTATTCTAGTCTTTTGTGTCCTTCAGTCACCACACCGTCTCTCCATCATGTCCAAAGCCTCCAAGAATCGCGACAAGTTCGCCGAGCTCCGCGCTCTTCGCCAGTCGGGGAAGAGTAAATTCGACACGTACAAAGTCGAGGACGTCGAGGATCTCTACGAAGAGGTGGACGAGAATCAGTACAAGGCCATCGTGAGAGAGCGTCTTGACCAGGACGACTTTGTGGTAGACGACAATGGCGCGGGCTATGCCGACGATGGCCGCGAGGAATGGGATCAGGCTCCCGCCTACGATTCAGAGAGCGACGGTGACTTGCCCCGCCCTGGAGGCAAGGAGCGCAAGTGTAAGCTTCTCCAGCTGTAATAGAGACTCCTGCCTCAAGCGGACAGTACACTAACAAGCGTCTTCTTTCGCTTTCACAGCCAAAAAAGAACGCGATCAGGAGCAAGCAAGGAAGGATGCCAACGACCGAGACATTTCCGAATACTTCATGAAAGGGGCCGCCAAAGCTCAGCCAAAGCAAAAGGTTATCAAAACAGAAGACGACGAAAGATTCCTTGCAGACCTTCTTGGCGAAGTGGACGCGAATGTCCCGGCTCCTGTACCACAAGCAACCAAAAAAAGAGATAGGTCAGCGGAGCGAAGAAAAGCGCGCGTGCGCTCTCCGGCTCCAGAAATCCGGCAGCCCGTCACCAAGAAGACCAAGGTCATTGATGATAGGATATCTTCCCCCGATGCCGTGCCTGCTCCCGTGGACGATGACGATTTCATGGTCTCCATGGACGATGACCCGGCCCCTGTTAACGACACGGCAATGAGCGATCCTGCGCCGTCATCGCCCGCCGCCAAGGTTGCGCAACGAAGAACACAAAACAAGACAGAGGTGGACGATGAAGACGAGGACGACCTAATGGAGGTCGCCCATGCCGGTGCTGTCTCGGTCGCAGCTGTCAACCTATCCGCATCTCGCAACATCAAAAAGCTCGTCAAGCCAGAACCCCTGCCAAATCCCGCCACATCGTCCTCGGCCAAAGCTGATGTGGACGTGGATGCCTCGTCCTGGAATCAGATCAGCCAGAAGCTGAACGTGTTTGCGAGCTCGCCAGCAGAGCCCAGGACGGTCGGCAAGGTTGATGGTCAGGATGCCATGGAAGAGGATGGCAGTCTCCTGTTCTTCTGGACCGACTATACTGAGGTCCAGGGCAGTTTGTGCCTGTTTGGAAAAGCGCTAAACAAGAAGACGAAAAAGTATGTGAGCTGTTTTGTCAAGGTAGACAACATTCTGCGCAAGCTGTACTTCTTGCCTCGCACGAGCCGCGTGCAAGATGGCGAGGAGACTGAAAACGAGGTCGAGATGATGGACGTTTACAATGAGGTAGACGCCATCATGACCAAGATGAATGTGACCATGTACAAGATCAAAGCTTGTACCCGAAAGTACGCCTTTGAGCTGCCCGATGTTCCAAAGGAGGGACAGTACCTCAAGCTTCTTTACCCTTATACCAAACCCCAGCTCGACATCAACACCACGGGCGAAACCTTTTCGCGCGTGTTTGGCACAAATACGTCGCTCTTTGAACAATTCGTACTATGGAAGAATGTTATGGGCCCTTGCTGGTTGAAGATCGAAGACGCCGATTTCAATGCCTTGAAGAATGCCTCACACTGTCGGTTGGAGGTACTGGCAGAGTCTCCCATGCAAATATCAGTCGTCAACGAGAGCGAGACCCCGGAAGCGCCTCCGTTGACTCTCATGAGCATTGCGCTGCGAACTGCCTTCAATGCCAAGGCCAACAAACAGGAGATCTTGGCTATCAGCGCGAGAATCTACAACGATGTCTCGCTGAGTGACACGACTCCGGCCGACAAGCTACCCTGCCGCACCTTCACCGTGATTCGGCCGCACGGGACCTCGTTCCCCATCGGATTTGAAACTTTTGCCAAAACAAGGCAGAAGGGACTCGTCAAACTGGTGAAGCAGGAGTCTGAGATATTGAGCTTCTTCCTCGCCCAAGTCGATGTAGTCGATCCTGACGTGATTCTTGGGCATCAGCTCGAAGGTGTTGATTACAGCGTTTTGCTCAATCGGCTCCACGAGAAGAAGACGCCGCAGTGGTCTCGCCTGGGCCGGCTGAGGCGGACCCAATGGCCAGCATCGATCGGCAAGGTTGGTGGCAACGTCTTCGCCGAGCGTCAGATTATGGCTGGACGGTTGCTTTGTGATCTCGCAAACGACGCGGGTAAATCTGTCATGTTTAAATGTCAGTCCTGGAGTTTGACCGAAATGTCCAATCTCTACCTCGCAGGCGAGGATCGACGAAGGGACGTCGATAACGAGGTTGCGCTCAATACATGGGCCAAGACAAAAGAAGGCCTGATGGACTATGTAACACATGTCGAGACCGACACGTATTTTATCGCAGCCTTGGCTCTCAGGGTCCAAATTCTCCCCCTTACCAAGGTTCTCACTGAGCTCGCTGGCAACTCGTGGGCAAGGACTCTGACCGGCACACGTGCCGAGCGCAACGAGTACATTTTGCTTCACGAATTCCACCGGAACAAGTACATATGCCCAGATAAACAACCATTCAAGGGGCGGCCTAGAGCCGACGACGAGAATCAGGAGGCAGAGGCTGGCGATGGTAAGAAGAAGGACAAATACAAGGGAGGTCTCGTCTTTGAGCCAGAAAAGGGTCTTTACGACAAGTTTGTTCTTGTCATGGACTTCAACTCGCTTTATCCTTCTATTATCCAAGAGTACAATATCTGCTTCACGACAGTGGATAGATCAGCCTCGGTATGTGCCATTCTCTCTCCGGGTGTGTGCCATTCCACTAACAACCGTAACAGTCGGAAGAGGAAGACGTGGTGCCCGAGGTCCCAGCCGAGCAGGATCAGGGAGTTCTTCCCAAACTGATTGCTACCCTGGTCTCGCGCAGAAGGGCAGTCAAGAATCTAATGAAGGACAAGACTGCGACTCCAGAAGAACTCGCCACTTGGGATATCAAACAGCTTGCCCTGAAGCTGACGGCCAACTCCATGTACGGATGCTTGGGATACACCAAATCTCGCTTCTATGCCAGGCCACTTGCCGTGCTCACTACCTACAAGGGACGTGAGATTCTCCGTAGCACCAAGGAGCTCGCTGAGAGCAACTCCCTCCAGGTAATTTACGGCGACACGGATTCCGTCATGATCAATGCCAATGTGGACAACGTAGCCGACGCACTTAAAGTCGGAAACGAGTTCAAAAAGGCCGTCAACGAACGCTACAAGCTGCTCGAGATCGACATTGACAATGTCTTCCGCCGTATCCTGCTGCAGGCCAAAAAGAAGTATGCGGCCATCAACCTTGTCGAGGTCGATGGGAAATTTGTCGAGAAGATGGAGGTCAAAGGTCTAGACATGAAGCGCCGTGAGTACTGTGCTTTGTCCAAGGAAATCTCCAGCAAGCTCCTCAACGAGATTCTGTCCGGCGACGACACCGAGGTCTCGATTCAGCGCATTCACGAGTACCTCCGTGAGACGGCGGCCAAGATGCGTGAGCACACTATCCCCGAGCAGAAGTATATCATCTTCACACAACTCGGCAAGGCCCCCAAGGAGTACCCCAACGCGGATAGTATGCCCCAAGTGCAAGTCGCACTCCGCGAGCTGGCCAGGGGTAAGACGGTCCGCAAGGGCGATGTCATCTCGTATATCATCACGGGCGACAGCAAGACCACCTCTGAAGCCCCGGCAAAACGTGCATATGCGCCCCAAGACCTCAAAGCAGACGCCAGCCTCAAGCCAGACGTAGAATGGTACATCGGCAAGCAGATTTTCCCTCCAGTCGAGCGTCTTTGTGCCAACATCACCGGCACCTCCACCGCCCAGCTGGCAGAGAATCTCGGCCTAGACATCCGCCGATACGCCAACAACACCAGCAACACGAATGGAAACTCCAACGACCTCGAAATCCACCCCCTCGAGTCTCAAATCCCCGACGTCGTCCGGTTCGCTGACTGCGAGCGCCTCACTTTGCGCTGTCGCAGCTGCAAAAAGTCTGCCCCCTTCGAAGGTCTCCTGGGCTCCGCCGACCGGGTCAAGCCCAGTGGGATCACATGCCCCTCCTGCGGCGCGACCCTTTCGACTCTGAGCATCGTCGCCCAAGTGGAATCGGCCATCCGGGCCCAAACAGCGTCTTATTACGATGGCTGGATCCAATGCGACGACTCGTCATGCGGGAACCGTACCCGGCAAATCTCGGTCTACGGCAGCCGCTGTCTCGGTCCCAAGGGCCTCGCGCGTGACTGTCTCGGCCGCATGAGATATGTCGTCAGCGAGCGCGACATGTACAACCAGCTCGTGTATTTCGCGGCGCTGTGGGACGTGGAGAAGGCCAAGAAAAAGGTCAAGAGCGGCACGGCGACCACGGGCACGGGTGAGAATATCGTTGCCGTGTCCCAGCAAGAGCAGGAGAGGATCCTCGCGCTGGCGGAACATAATCGTGTTAGGTTCGACACTATCAAGGGTGTTTGTGAGAAATATCTCGACAAGTGTGGCAGACAGTGGGTTGCCATGGATACTTTGTTTGCTAAGCTTGGGTTTGTGCCGGGAGCTTAGATAAATCTTGTTTGGTCTACAGGGACATGG